AGAAGCCGCGGGCACAGATCGAGGACCTGGAGGAGGTGCTGGCTCGCAAGCGGCGCCAGACGGCCAGTGCCTTGGACACCGACCTCAAGACCATCCAGGCTGAGCTCTTCGAGAAGAACAAGGTGCCATGGGGGTGGTCTCGTCCCCTGACACCCCTTCCCTGAGTGACCCTGTCCCTTCTGCAGTGGCTCAGCATCCCCCAGGGCCTCTTCAAGCCCAAACTCTGCCACCACCCTTCATCTAAGGGGTGGTAGCGGCCCCATCCTTTCTCCGTCAGCTCCTCTGTCGTGGGGTGGGGCGGTGGGAGAGGTCTCTGGGGAGGGAGAAGGGGGCACCCGGTGGTGGGGGTGGCTCTCGCCCGCTCAGCCCCGCACCCCATGCCCACGGCAGGAGCTGGCTGACCTGAAGCACATCCACACCAAGCTGAAGAAGCAGTACCAGGAGAAGATGGCCGAGCTGGCCCACGCCAACCGCCGCGTGGAGCAGCATGAGGGCGAGGTGAAGAAGCTGCGCCTGAGGGTGGAGGAGCTGAAGAAGGAGCTGGCTCAAGCTGAGGATGAGGTGGGGAAGCTTGTGCTGGTGGAGGAGATCAGGGTGGGCAGCTCTGCTCCCTCTGTGGCCACCGCCAGCCCCGTCCCATCCCATCCTGCAGCTGGATGAGGCTCACAACCAGACACGGAAGCTGCAGCGGTCACTGGACGAGCAGACGGAGCAGAGCGAGAGCTTCCAGGTGCAGTTGGAGCATCTGCAGTCCCGGTGAGCGGGGGACGGGGAGCCACCACGGTGGGGAGCAGCGAGGACCCAAGGGTGGGGTGATGTTCTCCTTGCCACCATCCCTCAACCAGCATCTCCCTGGTTGAACCCCAGGCTAAAGTGGGTCCGGCATCCTCAGGGGGTGTGCAGCCATCCTTGGAGCAGCCTTCACCCCACTGCGAGCTGGATGGCATTCACCTCCCAGTTAAACCAGCACAGGGCTGCCCACAGCCCAGTACAGCCTGGTTTCACATCACTTGGGGTCTCACCCGCCAGTATGCAGGGCCAGGGCAGGCTCCGAGCATCCTGCGTTGGTTTGGGGAGGCGGGAGGTGGGTTTTATTGCCCTTGAAAACTTTCCCTGGCCTCGCTTCGCCTCTCCAGCAGTAAAGAGCTGAAATGGCCGTGAGAGATCGATGCCGCGTCTCTGGGAGGCACTGGAGGGGTTGTGTTTATAATCTTCCTTTATTTTATCGGGATATCTTCATTAAATCATGGAGGAATAATGGAGGCTTCGTCTTGCCCCCCCTTTCAGCCTCCCCGTGCGCTCGGCCTTAAATAATTCATGCTTTCCGGTAAAACGCAGCAAACTGGTCGGATCTGACCAGGTTCTGGGCCTTTTGATTTCAAATCTGCTTCATAAATTGTTGGTGGTGGATTTTCACGCGAGGGCAAGTGAGGAGCTAAAGCCAGTGCAGGCTCCCAGGCATGGGGACTCCGGGTTTTTTGGAGAGGGGAATCCCCGTTTTAGGGGGATGACTCCTCCCTGCTCTGCTCGCGGCTGGGTCTGAGAGGCCCGGAGTGGCGGTGTCCGGCCCCAGAGGGTTTTAGCCGGTGCCTCGCTTGTGCCTCGTATCATCCAGGGCTCCCCGACCCCACGCCGGAGGGTTGGCCCCAGGCTGGGGGGGCTGATCCTGCACCCAGAGCTTAGCGGGAGCTGCAGAAATGGGGTCCCACCGGGATACAGTCATGCTGTAGGGGTGCAGGGGGACGGGCTCGGCTTTGGCGTCCCCCCAGGGCTGTGTTCCGCCACCCCCCACCCCGGCAGCTCTCTTTTGGCAGGCT